GAAGGATATCAATCAGCTTGGCCCGTCTTCTATTTGGCTTTTTTGCTTAACAAAATTTTGCTAATATTGCCGTAAGACTTAAACAACCCCCTGGTGGGGTTATGGGTTTGAGTCTCCCTTTATGGATATTTAGGCAGAAAGAAAAGAAGATGGGAATTAGAGGCTAAGTCACCTGAACAAAAAGAAAATTCGAATTCAGATTTTAATTCAGTTTATTTATATAATTATATTTAAAAATTAAAATTTAATAAATTTAAAATTTAAATATGAACACATGCAACTCCTTTCTTTTATTCTGGTCTCTTTGTAAAAGAATAAACACTTTTTTTTTTATAGTTTGTCGTAGAAAATAAAATAAGTACTAATCTTTGTCAAGGCGTTATTAGAATAGTACCCAAAGTCTCAAACCATCTTAGCCCAAAGCTTTAAGCCTCGGATAGAAACAAAGACCAGGGCAGTTTGATGAGCAAGTGGGCTTCTGAGTTCTGGCCCAAAAAAAGATAGAAAGTTCCTCAGATTGGAGGTTGTAAAGGAGACTCTGTTCATAAGAGAGGGAAAACACTTCGTAGACTTTGGTTCAAAGTCCGAGAGATAAAGAAAGAACTGTACGGCGCGGTATCCTTACATTTGGTACAGAAGCCATTGATGATAACTTGTAAGGGAAACTCTGCCTTTGATACTCTGATATGCCTGTCTGTCACATTCTTCTTCCCGTGATATCTATCTCTCTCCGAACTTCCCCCTGAATTCCATATCTTAGCAAGTAGCCACAACAGGACAATTAACCCCTAGTGTCCTATTGGTAGTTCCAGTTCGCATGTGATCAAACTTTGTCCTCGCTCCAAAAGCAACCTTTTACATGTTCAAAACACAATATTCATATTGGAGCTCTAGAGCATAATGTACCCAATCAACTTTTTGTTGATCCAAAACACACCTTTCACTTGTTCAAAACACAATCTTCATATAGAGGAATATGCATGCTTAGTACTAATTTTGTCTTTTAGTTTCAGTGGAGATATCTGTCATTTGTTGTTTTTTTCCTTACCTATACTCATAACTTGTCTAAGCAACCAAACAGACCATTAAGCAAATAGAAGTTTTACGGAAAAGGAACTTTGAAGGCATTTTTTTTCCTTTTTCTTATGCCGTATACGTTTGCATGAGTGCAAGATTGTAATTTCTTGAAGGAAGTAGTAATTATCATTTCAATGTTCATTACATTCTCTTGGTCTCTGGTTTTTACGAACTTCTTATAAATTAGATTTTGCCCAAATTCCTTGATTCTTTATAAGGGTTGTAATTGCATCAAATGAGGGCAACAAAGCAGAGAGGGATTCAGAAATTAACCTATCACTTCCAGGAGATGGTTTTTTGAGCTAAAAGAGCTGTGCAGTTGCAGTGCCCTGGAGTAGTATCTAGTGCAGATGTCATGGCAATTGCTACTAGCTACTTGGTTAACCTGATAACATTAATTCTAATCAATTCTCATTTATGAAAATGATTAGGTGTCTGAATTATAATTAAAAAAAATATATAAATGCTTACTTTTTTTTATTGTAATCAATCAATTCTTCTAACATTCATTTATATATAAATAATTTTTTATTTGGTTAAAAAATTAACTAAAATAAAATTTTATATGATATTAATAAAATAAATAAAAATTTGTCACCCATACAATTGATATGCATGAAAATCAAATAACAAAATATATTTTTTTATTTTTTTTCTCTCAAAGATTCTCAAAAAATTCAATTGCCTACTGTTTAAAGATTAATTGATTAAAATTTGTCACGTGATTAATTTTTTTTTCATTAAAAATTTCAATTGAATCCAAATAAAAATTAAAAATTTGATTAAATAAAATAAATTATTAAGAGTTTAGATGTATTGAATTATAATTTAAAGATATTTTTGATCTTTTAACCATATGAATAATAATTTTATTTAAAGGCCAAGGAGTGGCTTAATTTTCGATTTTAAAAAATAATTAATGGGCTTAGTAGCCGTTTGAATTTTACCACATCACGATTAAATTTATCGTATTTTTAGTTAAATCTAAATATCAATTTCAGTGAAATTAAATTAATATAAATTTTTTATTAAAATTTTTTTTCAATCGCAACTATAATAACTTTTTTTCATCATAATTACAGTAAATTTTATTATTATTTTTAATCTCATCATCTATCTAAATAAAACCTAAGTGTGGACGATAATAACTTTTTTTCATCATAATTACAGTAAATTTTATTATTATTTTTAATCTCATCATCTATCTAAATAAAACCTAAGTGTGGACGAGCTGAAGCCACTTGGTTGCAAAGGTGGGGGCATAAGATGGGAAGTGCTAAAGGGAAGAAGAGAAGGGCTGGTTTCCAGGGCTTCAAGAGTTGCTGGAAACCTTCCTCAGGCAAACCAAACAATTTCCCAGCGGATCTCACTCTTTAAGTCCAAGGGTTTATCAGTACTAGACATGGTGGCCTTATCAGGAGGTCACACCAAAGGCTTCTCGCTTTGCTGGGAGTTCATGCAAAGAATCTATAGCTACAACGGGACATTTGACATTGATACCCGATCACCATGAACCAAGATTACGCGCTAAGTCTCCAGGGTCCATGCCCTAGGAAATATCTCGATCCCACTGTCGTTGCACTTAATGATGTAACAACACCGTTTATCTTCGATAATGCTTATATATTATCGTAATCTTCAGAAGGGACTCGGCTTGTTAACCTCGGATGAAATGCTGGGTGTAGATCCATTAACCCGGTCTTACGTGAATATCATGGCCAGAATGTCAACTTAATTAGGATTATGAAGTACTACCTAAAGATTGAGATTCTCATATCAACTCCCCATTTATTCCTATCCTTTCGGAAAAATAGAAGCTTTCCCTGTCATGGCCTACCTCTTAAGTTCATTCAAGAGACAACCTAGTTGCTATGAACAGATTCAAACGCAGCTAGAAAAAAAAATAAAAAATTACACGAGTATAGCTCCCCGTGATCAGCGTAGTTGGTAAGTGGGCATATTACTTACATTATTGAGGATCTGCAGGTATCAAAATCTTTGATCTCACTACATGAATGGGTTTGAGACGGTTGATCAAGTACTCGAAATTTGCAAGCCAAGTGATCATGCATGTTATGGGCACAAATTAGCAACGTGAAAAGATTTGACTTTCATATAATAGATATCCTTCCTAGCGTTAATGGGAATTGTCATTTTTTGTCACGAACAAGTTTTCCACAGTGTAGAAAGATGCTTGATATCTGATAATAATCCAGACAAAACAGGCAGAACTTATTCTTTAATCTTTATCAGAATCTGTTTGTATCGAATTGGGAACGGAAAGGTGCCAGCGCTGCAATAAATGTGCACGATTGGAGCTGCACGAGGGCTAATCCTGAGGCTATATAAGCGAGTCCATTGTCTCCCATACTCATCAAAATAGGCAAAGCAAGAGATAATATAGTAGTATAAACAAGGCGTTTCACATTCACTCTCCCTCAAAGGCTTCTCCAACATGCCATGCATGGGCTTCATGCTGCACGCAGTGCTTGGTGAAGCCTTGGGGAGAGTGAATGAGACTGTGTCTTGCCTGTTCTCAGTCAGATCAGAAAATCCTAATTCCTCAATCTCTCCATCATAGATGGTTCTCAAATCTCAGTTCTTCGAACGACTTCAAGAAAGTAAATGATCAGAACGTTAAATTTCATGTTGTCCCTTTTTTTTTCAATACAGATAACTGTGGAGGTGCTTACTGTAGCATAAAGATTTGAACATATATGTGAAGTCGGTTTCAAAAACAAAATTTTGCTACACCTTCATTTCTTTGGCTTCCATAGTCTTCTTGTTTTTGTGGTTGGATTGGATTGGAGGATAGTTTTTGGAACATGGTATTACAAATCAATGTTGCCCTTCTGTGTTTTTGGTGCTTGTAGCTAGCTGGATAAATTGTGAGTTATGCATATATACTTAACTTATTAAACTCAATACACTGTTAATGATTCTCATTTTGTTAGGTTAGGCCTGATTTGGATCCAATTGTAACTAGTTTTAATGCAATATTTGAACCATTTTTTAGATCCAATTTAATGAATAAAATTTTTAAAGATTTTAAATATTAAATGACATTAAAATATACATATAAATATATTTAAATATTTATTTATAAAAGTATTATTTATATAAATAATTTTAATAATTTATTAATTTATTAAATATATATTATAAATTTTATTATATATAAATTTTAATATAATTCTTTAGTAATAATGAATTTTTTACTATACATCATCTTACATCAAAATTTTTATTTTCATTAGCAATAAATTTATTAAAAAATTAATTTTTTATATTCTAAAAAACTCTAATGTTAATGTTATAAAGAGGTTTCATGAGCTATATATTTTATTCAGGGGAAGAGATAGTGAAGATGAAAAAAAAAAAGGTTTAATGTTAAGATTGATAAGAGATGTTTTAATTAAAATTATTTTCATTTATTATCAAAGCATTACTAAATCTTTTTTTCATAATAACTTACTATTTCAATAAATTAATAAAATATTAAAATGTATTTTAAGAACATATTTGACAAATTTAGGGTAAAATTTAGAGTAAATTACAACCTTTATCACTAGACTTTCATGCACTTCCCACTTAGGTCATCCATCTTCAATTTGTATTAATTAAGTCATCGAACTTTCAAATTGTATCAAAAGTGGTCATTTACTCCATCACCATTATTAAAAAGGAGTAAAGAAATGCAGATATGGCATCCAAATCAGCATCATCGCGAGCTTCCTATGTCCAACTAATCAACACTTCCTCTCTTCCTCTTCTTTCTTTCTCAATCTCTCAAACCAGCACATCATTATCATCATTTCAATTCTGCCAGCATGCAATAGCGCCATCCGCCACCCTTTGCCACTGTCTAAATCACATTCCTCAAACACATACCACCAACATTCAAAAATCATGACCCAAAATCAATTTGGAAGCTCTTTAGAGATTTTTTTATTAAAAAAAATAATAAAAAAGGTTAATCGTTAAGGAGTTTGGGACAAGGAAAGAAAGGAGGGGAACGAGTCACAGCGGCTGGTAGTAGAGTGATGGCATCCACGAAAACTAGAGGAAGGGGGCTGGTAGAGAGTAGTCGAATGGTCAAAATCTCTTCATTTATTCTCCCCATTTTAGGTCTCTTCCATCCTCGCCGCCGGTGGAATATGATTTTAAGACATTTAGAATTTCAAAATTAAATTTTAAAACTATAGTTTTCTAATGTGGTTGCTGTGCAGCACAAATGAAAGGTCGTATGGAGGGATATTGCTAACAGATTCCAGTCGGTAGAAATAGCAATCGGTAATGAAGGGAGATGATTGAAGAAAGCAAAAGAACCTGAAAGCGTAGAGTAAATGATCACTTAATATAATTTAAAAATTTGATGACTTAGATTGATAAAGTTGGATGAACCGAATGGGAAGTGCACGATAAGTGACAATGCTAACTTATTTAATTTTTGAGATTTATCATTATCTGGCACGTGGCAACAATTGATTTGGTTTGACCAAATCCTGAAAAATAAGAACAAAGTACCAGATGATTACCCTAAAACCCCAATGATTTGGCGTCGCTTCTTCTAGCACACTAACATCGCCGATTTGGAGAACAAATGCAGAACTTTCCAAAACCCTAGATCACTAACAGATGAACAAAAATTCCCAATCCAATTAAAAACTTCAAACCATAATCTTTTTACAATGATGAGAAGAAGACTCACTTCTATAATCTCAGTTTCCTCTCACTTCCTCAAGGCCAAACCCATCTCCAATCCACCACCACTCCAATTCCATCCCTTCCAATCCCTCCAATGCTCCAACCCCATTAACAAAAATGGGTCATTTTGGTTTCAGGGTGTTAGAGCTTATAGTCTTTTGAGCTTGAACGATCTGAGAGGCAATGTTCCCAGAAAACAGAAGACGAGGAAAGGGAGAGGGATTGGGTCTGGCAAAGGAAAGACTGCTGGGAGAGGACATAAAGGACAAAAGGCTAGAGGTGGTGGCAAGTTGGGATTTGAAGGAGGGCAAACCCCCATGCGAAGACGTTTGCCTAAACGCGGCTTTAAGAACCCTTTTAGCCTCACTTTTCAGGTACCGTTTTCTTGAATTTATTTAGATTTTGGAGGGAAATCATACTCTTCTTTTTTCCGTACATATTTGAGCTTTGATTGTAAGTTCTCTCTTTAAGAGAAAATGGAGATTATTGAATGTATGTGAATTTTATGTTTAATTAATCTTCCTTTTCCGATGACTTACGAATTATGTTTGCGTGGTATTCAACATATGCGATGGAAGCCAAAATTGTATGTAATTGTTGAAATTTCCTATTTGATTGGTAACTAGTGAATTTGTAAGTGAAAATGCAAGGAAAATTAGAAATGCAAGTTCTTGCCTTCTTCTTTTCTCGGGGAAGGTGTTATAGCAGAAAACAAGGCACATTATCCTGGTTGTTCTTTTTCTAAACTATTTTTTTTCAGCTATAAAATCAAAATGAACTGTCTTGACCAGGATTTATATACTCTTTATCAATCTGCACCTCAGATTTAATTGCATGTTGACTTATGTTGCTGGTAGTTAGAAAAGGAAACAAAATGGTATTTTTGTAGGTTGCACTTTTCGAGTTTTGTTCTGTCATTGCTGCTGGATATTGGGATATTGGTTTTGATTTTCTTAAGATCATCTTAGGAGCTGATGTGTCATTAAGGATATTTTTTAATTTGATTTTTTTTAATCCTTGTGCAAGCTCATGTATTGAAGAGCTAGCATATTTGAAGTTGTAAAGGAAATTCTACTGTTATAATTGTTGCCATTTGATATCTCTGGTGTGGTATTAGGCAAGGTGGAAATTTATTTGTTGATTGCCATTTGATATCCTGTGGATGATTATCGTAGATTTGAAGAAATTTGTCCATGGAGGTTTCTTTCTTGTTTAGATATTTTCACTCTGCATTTAAAAGGAATAAACAGGTTAGGATTTTCATTCCTTTATTTGTTGGTACTGAGAATTGATTCTTGCATCGATGTTCATGAAGATGAGAAGATGTGTATACTAATTTCATTACTTCTTCTTGGGTTAGAATATTCTTTCTAAATTTTTGGTTGTAGGCTTAGTTTTGGTTTTGTTTTATTTGAGCTATTTTTCTTCACTTGTTAAATTGCTTACGTATTCATTTTCTGGCAGCCAGTAGGATTGGGAAAGATTGCCAAACTTATAAATGCTGGGAAGATAGATTCTCATGAATTGATCACAATGAAGACTCTCAAGGTACAGTTAACTCTTATTCTGATATCCAAATTTAAATCACTTAAGGGCAATATTCACACTGATTATTGCTATTACATAGGATGCTGGGGCCATAGGGAAACAGATAGAGGATGGGGTACGGTTGATGGGTCGTGGTGCTGAACAGATCAATTGGCCAATTCATTTGGAGGTAAAATGGTTGTTTGAAAGTTTTCTTCTTTTTATACTACTGACTTGACTCTTATTTAGATAAGGGATCATTGTTGCTTCTTCTCTGTCCTCTTTCGATTTAACTTGAGTCAGTCTAGAATAAAAAAAGAAGCTTGCATCATCTAGTGTACTTGTTATTTCTGTTGTATGATGATTGAAACTTCATCTGGCATTATCTTTTTATAGATTTCAGATAGATTAACCACTTATAGCCTTCTAGGTGCTTACTGTTTTCCCAGTGCTACTTAAAAGATGTTCTGTGATATTGAATTGAGCTAACCGTTAGATTCTGAGTGTTGACTCAGTCATTATTCATTAGATTCTGAATGTTGATTCAGTCATTATTCATCTATTTCCTTTTCTGGATCCGACACAAAAAAAGTTGGTCTTACTGTTTGAAGTTTACAGGTGTCAAGGGTGACTGTTAGAGCAAAGGAAGCAGTTGAAGCTGCGGGTGGATCTGTGAGGAGAGTACATTATAACAAATTGGGTTTTAGAGCTCTGCTCAAGCCTGAGTGGTTTGAAAAGAAGGGCAGGTTGCTGCCAAAACCAGCTAGGCCTCCTCCCAAACTGAAGGATAAAGTTGACAGCATTGGCCGCCTTCCTGCTCCTACAAAACCTATCCCATTTTTCACGGAAGAGGAGCGAGCCTCCTCTCCTGTCTAGTAGACAGATGATCAGTTTGGTCGTTGAACTGCAAGATTTTGTATTCATAATGAGTTGTTATGCAAACAGATTTTGTTTACCAAGACTCATTGTGGTGCAAGTTTTGCCATGTTTTCAAAAAAATAATCAATATAAGCAAAATCTGTTTTCATGCCAATAAATAGTTGAACTTGTTCTTTGCTCTCGGTTTTATCCACGTCAATTCAGAAATTAAGTTGTTTTTTGCGCTTGGTTGAACTCTCTGTGGTTGAACAGCGAGAAAACACTAGTTCAGTTTCTTTGAAACGGCAAGATCATCTCCATGGTTGTAACAGTAAGTCATGCGATCCATGAATGTATTTCCCTTGTGAAAAATAATAACACCTTTCTTTATTATGTGATCCATGAATGACAGACGCTACAGATCTCAATCAGAATGAAAATTCTACTCTGGTAGAAGTTCCACGATTATTGCAGCATCCTAAGCTGAATGAAAAATTCTAACCTAGCAACATTACATCATAAACAGCATCACCATAAGAATGACACTTTCTCATTTGGTAACAAGAATGAGATGCCCAAGCTGATACTTTTGGAAACCATAAGTATGGTGTTTCCACGGTCACCCTATCCAAGTTAAATCTACAACATAAAGAAAATTAAGAGGCAGCAATATTAACAAAAGCTCACTCTAGTTAGCAGCTAGTCTTTTCAGTCACAAAAGTAAAAGCAAAACCTTACTAAAAAAATAAAAGGTTCATATTGGTCCAATTTCATTAGTAAGGTGAACCAACATTTTGGGTAAAGGATGTATAATAGTCACAGGCTTGAAACAACAATGCCTAGTCAAAAAGCTACTATGTCTAGCCTACTATCCTTGTTGTGGTCTTCTTATCCCTCCTACTCTCCTTTTTCTTTCTCTTTACTATCCGTTGTCTTGCTTAGAAGTTAGAACGCTTTTGTCAACCCCTCCCTGCCAAACTACCATCAGCACCGCCATCACAAGCAGAGGATTTGCATATTGGGGATAAGTAGCAGCACAACCAACACTTTCTCTTCATCCAAACAGGGGCTGCAGTGAATTTGCATGCTTTGATAACTTCAGGGTGTAGCACAAGTAAGAAAACCAAAGACCATTGCCAATTCCTGCCATCAAAGTGAGAGGCTTCCTGATTCCATTTAGTCACAGGCTTAGAGCTTTGGGACTAGGCATTTCAAGCAATAGGAATTTCAGGCTCGCCAAAATTCACAAACGCCTCTGCACGTGCCATGCGTACCATTGCAGCATTCCAAGACACAAGGTGGTTCATAAATTCGTTTACATATTTCCCCCTGTCATTCTGTTTGGAAGAGGACAACAATAATTTGAAGAATATATTTTGTAATGGACTAAAAAAGACATAGTAGAGTTACTACCATACCTTGTAATCCAAATAATAAGCATGCTGCAATGGCAAACAAATGAACTGTCAAAACCTTGTAGCATGTGAAAAAAATCAGTTAATCTCCCTCTCTTCCTAATAGGATTGTGCAAAAGGAAAAACAGAGAGAGAGAGAGAGAGGGAGAGACAAAGAGATTACCTCCCACATATCCAAATTGAGGATGGGCTGCACCAGAGAAGATGGTTAAATTAAGTTTAAGATGGACGTAAATAATTACAGATATGTATATGCAGTTATTGACATACAATGTCATCCCATGCAAGTGGATTGATTGAATTTGATGTTTTGACTACCGCAAGTTGTTTCTCATGCCTCTTCACTGAAACAATTAAATGAAAGAAATTAAGAAAAACATCATCTCCCAAACATATGCTTTCACTGTCAAGTAGAACCAAATTTGGCTAATGGATTAATTATCACTTTTCACAAAAATTAAAGACGCTCTTTTTAATGTAAGTGGTGGTAGTTCAACAACCATTGCTGCATTATACTGAATTTGAAAAAGAGAATGCAAGAGAAGCAAGGAGAGTAAAAGAACAAAGAGGGAAAGCATCACACATTTCCTCTCATGCAACAACAAGAAGAGCATGTGCATAAGTAGTATCTTGATAATAGAACTCCTACTAACAACATACAGGGCTAATGCAGGGTGAATGCGAGCTATGAAAATGACTAGCAGAGGAACAGTGGGAGGGTGAAATAGCATTTTCATTGTCATGTGAACTAGTCCTGCAACAATCAAACAGAAATTAACTTGAGAAAAGACTTACAAACAAGCCAAACCCAGCCAGAGCCAAATAGTGTAAGAGCTGCTTCTACAAACTTTTCTCGGAAGTTTGTGAAAGACCCAAAATCCTTTTCAATCTGCTGAAGTAAACCAAGTTTGGGCATGTTGCCACCTCCTGGTTGCATAGATTCCCAAAAGAAGTCATGGTTCCACACCTGCAAATCGTAAGCTCAAGTGACTGATCCTATATTAGAGATTTCAGACTTCAATGGACAAATAAATATTACTTTAACATGTTGAAAATGGTGGAAACCCACTCTAGGATCAATGGTTACGAAACTTGTTCATCAATGGATGAATAGAGACGCACGAATGATTTTAACCAGATAATACTGAATGAGAATCACATATCAAATACAACCAAACGATTTAAGAACAATTCAAGCTTTTATACCTCTGCTGCATTGTTAAATTCAGCTAGGGGGTTCCCATTGTTGTAAGTTGCTTTGACAAGTTCATCCATAGTGTAGCCATACAGTATATCACTTTTCCCAAGCTGTTTATTCAGATCTTCTACAAAGTCACGATGATGCACACCCCAATGTACCTCCAATGCCCTCTTACTCATATATGGTTCCAAAGCATCCTGCAAATAGGTAAGGAATGCAGATAAGTCCAGGAAAAGGAAGTACAGAAATGAAGAGTGGCCATTTCTTGAAGATTGCTATAGCATGACATTTTTTACCCATAAAAAACAGGAATAGATAGTTTATAATCTACAAAATTAGTGAAAAAATACTCATTAAAGCATGAGGAAAAAAGTTCCATTCAACTTGAACAACAAAGAAGGAAAATATAAAAGTAAAGAAAAGGAAAAAGGAAAAAAAATACTCACAAGCTTATAAGGAGGCGTCTTTAGCCCATAGTAAGCAACAGTTCTAGAAACTTTTTGCGACCCATTAGACCTTCCTTTCTGTGGCTCACACTGAATACATCAGCAATATTCAAGCGTTCTCAAAACTCTTTCTTGTTTGAAGATTAACAAGACAAAAAGAGCACAAATAGCAGAATTTTGCTTCCAGAAAGAACAGGCAAAACACAGATATAATAAAGGATTGAAATTGACAACAATTTTAAGCTTTCTTGCACATTTTGGTGTAAACATATAAATATATAAAAGCAAAATTAGTATTGAAAAGAAAAGAAACGAACCAAGTAAGAGAGCTTAGGGCTTTTCAGAGGGAGAATGAAGTCAGTCACCAGGAGATGACGAGCCATTTCTTTGCTTCAGTTCCCTTATCTCTCTCTCTCCCTCTCTCTCTCTGCGCAAGGACTGGATACTAATCTTAGTAAACCTTTATTTTCTGCAAGCCTCTAAAATTGAGGGCTGGATTGGGCCTTTGCCCATGAAAGAGCAGCCCAAACTGTCTAAGCCAACTAAGAATGATAATGATTTAAACCGAATTAGATTTAATTTAATTTTTTTTAATATTATATAATATTATAAAAATTTAAAATTTGATTTGAATTTAAATTATTTTTTGATTTGAATTTAAATTATTTTTATAGATTATTTTAATATAAATTTTAATATATTTAATAAATTTTAATATAAAATTATTATTTTTATTTATTATAAAAATTTAAAATATATTTAAAACTTAAAAAAATATATATTTCAATGTATTTTTCTTTTATAAATTTTTACCTTTCAATCCAAAATCGGATTTAATATCTAAATTTAATTTAAATCAAATAAAAAAACTCCAATTCAAATCTAATCAAATATTATAATTTCAAATTAATTTTTGATTTTTCCCTTTTTTTTTTTCTTAGCATGATGATACAAACAAATGCCAGGGTCTTGCAGAAGAAGAGTTGCAATTCTTGGGAATCTTTTCTTCTCAATAAAATAATTTTTTTTGAAAGATTTAAATATTTATTTATTTATTTATTTCAGTAATAGGCATTTATGAGCGACCAAATTCCATACATGTAGGGCGCGAGTAACAAGTGTCAGACAAAGACACGAAAAACCTCACAGACTCCATTTTTCGTTCTCTGCAAAAACCTCTCTTTTCAACTTTTTAAGACAAAAGAATAAATATTAAAGGCAAAAGGAAAAGTTTCTCTTTTTCGTTTTACCCTTCATTATACACACTCTTTCTGCAGCTGTGCATTTTAAGCGTTGGAAATTCAATCTAATTTGATTCGATGGCGACAAGGGCATCTGGGAAATTGCTTAGAGATTTCATGCGCCAAAGGGTAATTTCAACTTCCATTGGAGCTGCCAGACATTGGTCTTCCGCTGCTACTTCTGCTCCTAAAATCCCTCATTCTTCAAAAAAGGTAAGTTTTTTTTTCCACCTCCATGTATGAAAATTTATGTGTATATGGAAAAAGAGAGATGCTTGAAGCGTGTATGGGACTTTTATTTACTTTTCCTTATCCATTCAAATCTTTAGGTAATAAAAGTTTAGCTAAGCTAAGCGTAAATGTCTTAATAGGGAGTTGGGTATTTTGAAAGTTGTGATTGGGAGGGTTAACATGCCTTCTTTTGCTTGACCGCCTTAAGAGAAGAACGTTTGAGAACATCTTAAATTGTTTTTTTCTTGCATTGGAAATTGACTTCTTAATGATAAACTTGATTTTCTAGTTCCTGAATGGCTTAACCATTGAATTGCCATTCTTTTTTAACTTTCTAGTATGAGGCGTCATTCATGTTCATTTGGTTGTATGCATGAATTTTCTGTTCTGAGACATTATTTTCTGATTCCATAGTCTTTGGTTATATTTTCAATTCTAGGGGAGGTTATTGACTGGAGCCACTTAGGATTAATTATAGCAGGAGGGGCTTATGTTAGTACTGTTGATGAAGCAACTTTCTGGTACTTTTTTTGGACCTCCCGAGGACATCTCTTCTTCGTAACTTAAATTTTTTTTGTCATATTTTGTTTCATTTTGCAAATGAGGTGGATTTCCCCCTTTTCTGGATTCAAAGGATTATCTGCAATTCCTCTTGATCTTTCTTTTGTTGGATTTTGAAAATTGTGCAAATGGTTCCACTAACTTTAATAGGAAATTATATTGGAAAATGAATGAGTTGCTTCAATGGAACAGTTTCCTTTGCAAGTTAGATGACTAAAACAGCTGTAAAGAGTAGCATTATTTCGCCTTTGTATCACAGTAACCTGATCGATGGAGATTTTGTTAGCTTTCTTTATTTTCATCTCTCTATTTTTTCTTTTTGTCATTTTTTTAGTCTTAGTTGATAGCTATCATTGAAGAACACAAACTAAAACAACTTGACAATGAAATTTTAGTTGCCAATATGCCTTTATCTATGTTTTGATTCTAAGTTTATATAAAAAATTTAATGGATCCATTCACAGAAATACCAGAGTTTGAAATGAATCCTTATCTTGTATCTATTTGCCATCAACTTATACCATACAAAATTTTGGCACTGGTTGGCTATTCTCAGCGACTAAACTTGTAAACCCATTCTTTGCACTTTTGGATGCTGAGAAAGCTCATACACTAGCTGTTTCAGCTTGTGCTCGTGGCTGGGTTCCCAGGGAGAAGAGGCCTGATCCACCAATTTTGGGGTTAGAAGTGTGGGGAAGGAAGTTTTCAAACACTATAGGTCTTTCTGCTGGCTTTGATAAAAATGTAGAAGCTGTTGAAGGCTTACTTGTTATGGGGTTTGGGTTTGTGGAAGTTGGATCGGTAACCCCTCTTCCACAAGAGAGTAATACAAAGCCACACATCTTTAGATTACGACAAGAAGGTGAGACCTAATTCTTCCTTTCTACCATTTCTTTGAAATGTGAACTTACCTGTTTTGTGGCATGGGCATGAGTAAGGCAATGCTTTCTTGTGATTTTGCCAAAGAGATTTGATTGCTTGAACTCATGTTGCTTGGAGTTCAAGTTTTTCTATCTTATCTAACTTGATTTGTTGGTCGGTGCTATCATCAACTGCTGTGGGTTCAATAGTGAAGGAATTGTTGCTGTTGCAAAGTGATTGGGTACCCAGCATGGCAAGAGGAAGTTGGAGACTTTGAATTCTTTATCACCCTCGAGTGAGGAAGCTAAACATAGGGGCAAAGCTGGTCCTGGAATTCTAGGAGTCAATCTTCGAAAGAAAAGGACAAGTGAAGATGCTACTGCTGACCATGTACAAGGAGTTCACACATTATCCCAGTATGCTGATTACTTGGTAGTTCTATATTCTTTATTTGAGTTAATTCATTTCTTTCCATGGAGTACAAAATTTTCACACAATAAATGATAGAATCGATTATAGTATTTAAAATGGCTGCTTAGCATGATTTTCTTCCCTATAATTTGTTTTGCTTGCCTCTTTCTGGAGGGGGATAGCTGCATATTTTTTAAACTAGAAATATGATTTTGATATAAGTATAGCCGCAGGGGCTTTGTGATTTACACCCTCCTTTTTTTAATTTATATGTTATTACTTTGAGAAGTTTTCCTTGAGGTTTTCTTGAATTTGATTGTTTAGATGCCATCTCCGTTTCACAACTGTCTTAGGTTATTAATGTTTCATCACCAAACACTCCTGGATTGCGTATGCTTCAAGGAAGGAAACAGTTAAAGGATCTTGTTAAGAAGGTATAGATCTCTATTTGTGAACTTAATCTTTCTTCTTGTGATATATCAGAGCAGAACTTCACGCTTCTCAATTTTGCTTTGCTTTTTCATCTTTTCATCAAAGGTTCAAGCTGCTCATGATGAAATGCGATGGGGTGTGGAGGGTCCTCCTCCACTGCTTGTTAAAATTGCTCCAGACTTGTCTAAAGAAGACCTTGAGGATATAGCAGCCATATGCTCTACTTGCATTTGGATACTACTTCATTGCTTACCTTATGATGTTCTTATTATTTCTTTTCTTTGATTGTGGGTTGCTGTTGCCCTCTGCTTGGATGGATTGGTATTTTTCTTCCCATTGGAAATTTCCTATATTTCTTGTCCACGTTCTTATGTGATTAGAAGTTTCTGGCTCAATGGTGTATTTAAGTCATTTTTCTTACTCATATGGTTTTATAATTTGCATTGATATGACAGTTTTGTTCTCACTCACATTTTGCACTAATGAAACAATTTTGTATTCTAGCCCTTGCATTTATCTGTAAAGACAGTTGTATTTTCTTAAAGTAATATTTGGGTTTTTTTTTTTTTTTCTAGATGCAATAAAAGAACATCATGATGAAATTCATGGCAGTCTACATGTTAATCACAGTTTGTTTTAAGAAGCTGTTGATTTCATAGTATCGTTTTTGTTCACTTCATTCTTTCTATTACAAAATACAGAGCAAATAGTAACTTAAATTGCACATTAATTTTTATTTCTCTTGCTATTATGTGTTTTTCCCTGATTTTAACCTATTTCTGTTTTCCAGATCATATCAAATACAACCATTTCAACACCAGATCCTGTAAAGAAAAATCCACTCTCTGCAGAATCTGGTGGCTTAAGTGGGAAACCTCTCTTTAATTTTTCGACTAACATCTTAAAGGAGATGTATGTTCTAAAGGGTATGTTGTCTATTCTTATGAAAAATTTTGATCTAGTATTGAAGCTGTTGACTTTTCATGGTCATATCGTCTAATTCTAAATATGTTGTTCATTTACTGTCTTGATCTTGAAATTATCATATCTTCTATTTCTAAACATGTTTTGTATTAAGTGTGTCAAAATGGTCGTATCTTCTGCCTTTCTTTTTTAAAAACCCTACAACCACACTCCTCTCCTTTATTGCAGCCTAACATATAAAACATGAAGTAAAGCCAAAAAAGTGTTGGTAAACAAACATCAAGGTGGAAGTGTGTTGCCTCTTGAAAGTACAGAGATGGAAGTTTAATTTTATAAAACCTCAGGGTATTGTTTTATAATTTGGCCTATGTTACTTTTTGCATTATATAGTTGATGGTTCAAGTTGCATGGAGTCTTTTGAGCGGGAGATATGTATTGCTTGTCTTGGGGTATTGAGATGGATGTTGGCCTTGTTGCTGCTTGACCTGTAACTCAGTGCTGGTGTCTACTGTATTGGAACTGTATATAATTTCCCTATTTCACTATCTTATTGGATTTGGACATTTCAAGATGCTTCAAATATTTACTCTTGAGGTCATTATAATTTGTGATTATGTGGTTTGTCTTTGTCCTGGGGTATACTCTGTACTTGGATGTTAGGACGATGGAGCTGGCATGTTCACAGGTGTTTAAAGTTTGATGGCTTTCAACAGCAAGGTCTGCAGCTGGCCTTATTATTGGCTTTTAATGGTTTCTTGCTGTTTCTTAGATCTCTATATTTTGAAATCAAATTTGTAAAGCATTCAGATTTCAGTTACTTTACCTGGTCCTGATTTCTGTTTGAATATTTCTGTTTGAATTTTATTGCCGTATTGCTTGTAAAGTTCTTACAGTATGCATCTTATTTATAAAGCTGACCTGCATTTTTCTTTGCCAGGGAAAGATCCCTTTAATAGGCTGTGGTGGTTTTAGCAGGTAAAGTCAGGATACTTATTAATCATTACAATTGATCTTATCATCTAGATTATGTCACTGTCACCGTCTTCACCATCATCATTACTGTTATTGTTACCTTTATGTATATCTCCATCATTAATTTGAATTACTCATTCAATTCAGTGGTGAGGATGCATACAAAAAAATAATGGCTGGAGCAACTCTCATTCAGCTTTATACTGCATTTGCATATGGAGGCCCTGCCTCAATTCCCCAAATAAAGGTATTCTCCTTTAAATTTCCAAGTTCTATATTTATTTTCTTTCTGCTTCACATCGTAAAGGATGTTAAACATTATAAATTGTTGTTTGGATGACAAATCTGTCTTGCTTGACCACTTTGTTATTAGGATCTGTAACTTTTTCGTTTCATTGTGATATATCATAATCCCACAAATTTTTATGTCTTAATCCTAGTTCAGATCCCATCAGCGTAATTTTAAGAGAGAAGTTAAGGTAATTTCTTGTGTCTCTGATTTCGAATTCAACATATACACTCTTGGGATGTCTCTGATTCTAGGAATGCTGTTGTTAGATTGGGGTTGTCTTATTAAGTTTGTCGGTAGGTCTAGGGCCAATGCTTAACTGGATGGGTTATAGCTTTTGTTAAATATTTGGTTTCGCTTATCGTGATTGTGCTGTTTTTGGAGGCTGAACTTGCTGAGTGCTTAGAAAGGGATGGTTTCAAATCTATCCATGAGGCTGTTGGTGCTGACTGCAGATAGTGCCTGCCTTGCACCAAGAACTTCACCACGAAATAGCTGTATTTTAATCGTGTACTTGGCTGATTGCAGATAGGCTGTCGGTCAATTTTGCTTTGCTCTATTTTTTCTTCTCATTGTCTATAAATTGTATCCTTCCACCTTTCATGAGTTAGAGAGGATTTACATTTACAATATGAGAAAACAATTTTGACACAATGTAGTAGGAAAAAAAATAGAATGAATCTCTTGTGTACTTTCAGGGCATTAGGCAACGCATGCCCAATTCCAAGAAAACTTTGTTAGCAGATAAAGTGAATAATGAAATGAAAAACAAAAGGACTCTTGAAATATTCCTATATTTGCAGTTGTTTGGCCCTTGCAAGTAGTCTAATATCTAGGGCGGCGTCATTACAAACATTACTTTCAGATTAGAATGGGAAGATGCCCATGCCCACTCGCATACTTGGAGTCATCACCGTCCAGGTATAGCGCAGCTTCAGCAACATCTTGTTGGAGAACAACCGCTTTCAGATTAGAATAAATACGAAGGTGATAAGCAGTTGAGTCGAATCCCAAACCTACCAAGCTCTGCTGCCGCGTTCTTGGTGAGTCCTATAATGGCATGCTTTGAACTTGTGTACGCATGAGAAGCAACTCCATCACCAGTGAAAATATGCTGCCTTATCGTGCAGGAATTTTTACTCGAGCTGCATGCTAAGTTCCCAAGAAAAAACCTGTCAACACTAAAACGAACGCAGCCCATTGAAATTATACTGCTGGCATTTGATGATCATAAAGGTATAGTAATTTTTTTTTTTTTTTATAAAACCTTCAATAAATAATTGGGAATATTTTTATTATTTGTGTTAATCTGATATACCAGATCAGTCTAATATGTTCAATACCATATCAGCTCCGTAAAATGATTCTCACAACTTATAAATGTGAAGGTGTAGGCATCATTATGAGAAGTTCATTCTACTCCCGTTCTCTCTTTTTTACTTCTTTTCTGACCTGAATCTTTTTGACTTATGGGTCGAGTGCAAATGCAAGGAAAACACTTTTCCTTTGCCTTCAATCACCCTTTTCTTTTGCCTTTCCAGAAACACCCCAAAATCGGCACAAACACTTTTCTTCACGTATAACTTCAACATATACAGTCGAATCTCGTAGGGAAGTGAAGAGTCAGGGAGAGCAACAAAATAAATATCTGGTCCAGTGAGATCCTTTTAGTCTTGGGTTGATCCTGTCAGGTCTTGCCAAGTCAAAAATGGGACCCGACAACCCCGTGGAATTATTGAAACCCATTTTTTTTGTAGTTTATGTTTTAAGTGTGCCAACAGAGAATATTGACTCTTTTAGTCTTAATTCTAAAGCCATTTGTTTACTTAAGAAGCAGGGAAAAGGTATGTCTTCTCTCTGTTGGTCATTTCTCTCCTTTTCGCAATCCAGTTTGATCATCATGCTCACCATACAAGTTTTATCGTTTGGTATCAGTTCCATTTTCCATGTACCAGAATTGCTTTTGCTTTCCTTTTTTTTTTTTTTTAAAGTCCTCTGTTTGATTGGTCAGGGAGACCGGAAATCAAAGCGAAGCTAGAATATGGGTTTCTTTTTGGATTTTGTTTAACGTTGGTATGGTAATATGAGGGAGCAAAGACTTTCTCTCAGTCGAGGCAATCAAGAGAGTGGAAAAACCAGATACTGACTAAAAGGTTCTCATTTCTTTTTCTTTTTCCACTTCTCTCAATCTCAATATATATATATATATGTATGTATGTATATGTATATATATACACACACACATACATATATATCTTCTAGTAGAAAAATATGTGGGAACTTTCTTCATCACCTGTATGCTGGAACCTCACAAATCATAATGTTTTAGAAAGCTTTAATATTGCATGAATTTATGTCTATTGATGGCAGGAGAAAATGTCTGTTTTTCTTGAAATCTTGAAGTGCATTCTGTGTTGTGAAGACGAGTCCATTGATATTGATGACAACCGACCTTCCTTCGGAGATAATTTTAGTGGAACTAGGATTTATAACACTTTTTCTAGCTTGGTCTCCAATCCTAGTTTCTCAAACGAATCATATTCGACAACCAGAAATCGCAATTACTCAAATTCATCCCTCAGTTCATCACTCATTAACTCAACTAGAAATGAGTCGACAAGGCAGTCCAGGCCAAGTGACGTACCTGTTGAATACAGGGTAGTTCTAGGTTCAGAGACAAATACACCAACTTCAATTGGATCATTGTATCTGAAGTCTGTGGAAAGGGTTTATCAAGGGCCTCAGAATTCTAGGAGTTCTGGCACAGACAACATTTATTCATCTCCAACTTCAATCAAACCACCCCAGTCCTCAACTAAGCTTATTCTGCCTCCTCCTAATCCTTCGCCATCATCCTTTAAACCCCCAACTTCTTCTCCTAAACCACCTCCATCTTCTAAACCATCTTCATCTTCCCCTAAACCCCCAACATCTTCTCCTAAACCACCTCCATCTTCTAAACCATCTTCATCTTCCCCTAAACCCCCAACATCTTCTAAACCATCTCTATCATCACCTAAACCTCCAATGCCATCTAAACCATCTTCATCATCTCTTAGACCAAGTTCATCCTTCTCCACACCAACTTCATCTTCTTCTAACCCCACTCCATCCCTTAAGCCAACTCTATCGCAGGTGCCTTCTAATTTTTCCTACCAACAAGGGAAAGGAGAGTATAAATGGGCCAATCCAAAGGATACATTACCTATTTACATGATTCCCAAGGACATTGAGGACTTGATCAAGAGAGACATTGTGCCTGAAGTTCTGAAAAAACCTTTGTCTCCCTCAACATACCAGGATTACTTTACAGCTCTTCTATATGCTGAGGATTACTACATTGAGGTAATGAGAATGGTTTCCTTTCATGAAAGATTTATCGTCCAATTCTATCAAACTTTTCTATTTGTCTCTACTCTCTTCTTTTAAACTAAGGTGCTTCGCAAAAACTTGTTTTGTCTGATTTATGTCATTTGATTTATTCATAGTGAATGTTTTGGTGTGGCATTTAGCTGGGCTAAATCTACTGATTAGAATATTGTCCTTAATTAAGCTATGATCTATTAAGTACAAGTGCTCAAAATAACAAGATGTGTTGTGTTAGTCTTTTGACTATTTTAGAATTGCCAGCCTAAAACATGAACCTGTTTGTAATGGAGCAACTAGTAAGGACTAAATTTGAGAATTACCATGAGATGCCAGTGGTAAAATATGAGGGATGGCAACGGGTCGGGTCGGGACGGGTATATGCTCGCCCCGAACCCGACCCGATCCGATAATTTTTTTAATTATTTTTTATACCCGAATCCAACCCGACATTGTATAAAATCATATCCGACCCGTAATTAATAAAATATTATTTTTAATTTAAATATAAATATAAAATTAAATATATATAAAAAAATATATAAATAATTATAAAATTAAATAAATAATTAAAAAAATTATTTTTATATATATATATATATACCCCGATTTTTTCTTCATGCCACCCGACCTGATACCCAATTTTAAAAAAAAAAGAAACCGACCCTAAAAGGTCGGGTCGGGTCAAAACCTATCGATTTCGGTTTTTTTGCCTTCTCTAAATATGACCAAAAAAAAAGCTAAGACTATCTCCATAGACTATACAAGTGGAATGCATTTAGAGGTAAGCGTGAGGGATCTTTGGCATATGTTATAATTGGGCTAAATGTTCTCAAAATTCCTTGTTAGGCACTTAAGGTAAAATAATTCTGCAAAAGAGTAATGACCACGCAAAAAAGAACATGTAGAAAAAGGGAGAATGGTTTTGGTTGGAACAGTGCTCTGATAAAACTTACTTTTGTTTGGACCAGTCCTTCGCTGGAGCTGATAGAAAGTAAACCAAATTATTAGAATTGCTTTGTTTGATGAGAATTATTTTTCTCAAGAGTTTTTTTTCTTTTTTTTAAATGAAGAGACTATGTTAAAATTAAAAACAACAAATAGTTGATTTTCTTTCTCTTCCATAGGACCCTATTGGACCATGTCTATCTGATTTAGGATTTGCATTGGGCCATACCAATGGATCCCAAATAAACTACTTTGAATAATACATGAATAATAAGTGCAAAATGCAATTGCCCATTGAATTCTTAATTTTGCACTTCATAACCTTCTTATCTATCTCATAGTTTTATGCTTCTCCTGTATGGTGCGATGGAAAGCATTTTCTGGTCAGTATCACGAAACAATGGTTTTGCGTCATAATCAATGAATTGCAAGAAACTAATGAATGCTTTTGTCTGAAATAGAAATGGAGTGGTTATGAGTTGGTGAATGTGTCTCTGGAGCTGCATTCAGCATCAATCTATCAGAAGTCAGGCAGGAATAAGGACTCAAAAGCAAGAAATAAGATGGATGATAAAACTTTTGTAGTGTTTGAGGTCGATTCTATTGCTGAGAGGCGGCCATTTCTTCTATCAAGGGACTTTGTCTTTGCACAACCTGCGGGCAAAAAAATTGAGCCATATAAGGTTTTGCCTTTGGTCTTGCATTATTATGTATCATAATATATCTGACTTTTATAGATTAAGAAGTATTCTATTTGAGCTCTATAGCCAATAATATAATAATCTTTAAGCTACTAAATTACCTATTTTTCTTTAATGTCTTGATTAATCAATGTAGAGGAGACTGCATTTGGATAAGTGTCTCATAAATGATGGCATGCTGTCTATGGGCTCGAAACTAAAGTGCATCTAGTAGAAAATCTTGCATCCTAGCTAGCATGTCTATCAAGTGATGATATCTTGGCATCTTGCATTTGTTGTGTAGTCTAGATTGATAATATTAAGATGGATGCTTTCATGAAGAATTAATTATATATCTTGCCGAACAACAAGAGTATCATGCTATGCAACCAAATTTCTTGTCTACCTTTCTGAGAATCCCCATGACTTAATCTAATTCTGCATTCATTTTATGTTGATGATGTGCTGATAGAGTCAATCTTTTCTATTTCATGTAAGCGATGTTTATGTTTCATTGATTCCATCACATAGTAGAAGCTCAACCAGAGTGGACGAAGACCAACCCTCACACTCATTTACTTGAATTCCTTATATTGCTTTAGAATAGATGTTTTCTGATTAAGCCTTATAAAGAGTAAAGAATCAATATGATATAGGGACAAATAGCACAATACTAGATTCAATGCATTAAAAAGTCTTCTGGTTTTCTCAATATGCAGTAAGTTTGTGGCTTTGTGCAACATCTTTATCTTTTCTTTCTCCAATATTAAGGTTCGTATGTTCTTGCAGGGCATTATATATCGGGTGGAGAAGAGCACAAATGTACTAGTTGAATTTGGAGAGGAGTTTTATTCTCAGCATGCTTCAACCTGCAGATATAATATTAGTTTCTCATTCAACAGAGTCTGCTTGAAAAGGGCTCACCAAGCAATTGCAGCTGCTTCTGATCCTTTATTCCAAAAGTTCCTTTTCCCTAATTCTGTCTCCAGAGATCTCATGTGTATCTCAACGCCTTTTAATCTTAATAACCACAATCTTGATCAGGTTGAAAAGTCAGCAGTTCATCGTATTTTGAACTTTGGAGGTCCTCCACCTTTTCTAGTAAAGGGCCCTCTCTGTACAACTTGCAATGATAATTCTGAATCCCTTATGGAGCAACTTTCAAGAACTGGACTGGTTGTTAAAGAAGCAGTGCTCCAAATTTACCAACGCCATCCAGGGTCTAAAATTCTTGTCTGTGCGCCTACAAATAGCACATGTGATGTGCTAATGAGAAGCTTGAAAAAGGAAATTCCGGTGTCAGATATGTTCAGAGCCAATGCTGCATTCAGGGAGATAGAGGGGGTTCCTTTTGACATCCTCCCCTCCTGTCTTTACAAAACAGAAACTGAGTGTTTTAGTTGCCCTTCACTCCAGGAACTAAGGGAGTTACGAGTAATATTTTCTACTTTTATAAGTAGCTATCGCCTGTATAATGCAGGCATATCTGCTGGACATTTTAGCTATATCCTTTTGGTGGATGCTTCTTCAGCTACTGAGCCAGAGACAATAGTGACTTTGGCTAACTTGGCTGACGAGAGCACAACGGTGATAGTTACTGGTGCATCCGGAAATCGTTCAAGCCATGTCCGAGCAGATATTGCTAGGCGGAAGGGGTTGAGAAGATCGTACTTCGAAAGACTTTGTGAGTTTGGTCCGTACAAGAATGGAAACTCAATGTTCATAGCGCCGATCCAGGACAGAGCCACGGTGGTGCCAAGGGAGAAAATGCCCCCACCCCAATTTCGTACTACAGTGTTTCTAGACTAATGCTTTAAGCATTGCTGTGGTTAAAAAATATCGATGTCTGACGTTTGAAAAATGTCGTGAAAAATAATAATTTGAGATTTTTAAGTGGTTAATATTGTTATAAAAAAGTTGCAGAAAATTAAAATATTTAAAGAAGACATGATATTGTGATGTGATATTCCATTTTTAAATACTCCATTTTGTCTGCTTTTCATTATTGACGATCGTGATAACATTGATAAGATTGATAAGAGAACAATGAAAAATTCTTCGATCATTCAGACTAAAAACATGAATGACAGATGAGTAACCACAATATTGAAGTAAAAGGGTTCATAAACCTCCTAATGAACCCAAAACAGCTGCAAGACTATATTTCCCTCTGTATTTGGGCTTTGATTCTTTACTTGCTTTTGAATCGCCTGATTCAGTATCCGCTGGACTGAAAACAGAAGAGTAAAGATTACCATCTTCTAACCACTTGACATGATTCTCCTTGAACTCCAAATGTTATATCCTAGCTGAGCAAGTTCCACAGTGTACGAGGATGTCTTCACCATGGTGAGTAAAACGCGACTGTATCGTGATTTGTGAGCTGAGTTCATTTCAGTTAAGAAGTGGCAACCAACTTGAAACATGGATGCTCTGGGAAATTGTCTTCCACAGAACCATCTTTCTCAACACAGGATAGAAGAACACGAGCCAGCCACCCATTACAAGCATCCTAGCAGCAAGGTCAAGCAAGTCACGCACACACTCAACTAAGCTATAAGTTGCAGTTGATGGTATATGGTCTGCTCTTTTGTCGTCAGGAACAGTCTAAGAGCCCACAACCCCCTTAACAAATTTTCGGCCACCAGACTTGCATCCACCAGTGACCAGCTCGAACTCCATATGAGGGATCACAAATTATTGCATCAAACACCTATGCAAAACCAAGAAAGAATACTTAAAAATCAAAGAAGAAGCAGAAATAGGTGACAGTAAACAAACCGCAATGATCTCTTCTAAAACTTCAAATAATCCTTTCTAGGCATTTAATTGTTGCTTTGCAATTGTCCCTCAATAACTAATTTTTTTTTTCAGAAGCTTCGAAACTTGAGCCCTCCTTTCTCGGGCTGTATCAGATCACACCAATGCTCCATTACAATGACATAGCAAATTAAGCAAAGGTACCAGCTAATGCAATGAGTGTGTGTGCGTATTTCAATCAAAACAATACCGACAGGAATGAGATAAGGAATCATAACAGCTGAACAAATTCAAAAGAAAAAAATGTTAATCGAAGTACACCTATCAAATTCAAAACAATTAAGAATACAATAACATGTTCAACAGCAAGCAGTTTTACAAGAAATTACCTCTTCTATTCCTGGACGCCAAGGAGGAAGGTTGTTATCTGCCCTCAACAAAGCAATTGGCATTGGCAATCCACCCTACAAAGTAGCAAATGAGCATACAATCTCATGCAGAGAAAATGAAACAAAAAAAGAATTGCTTGTTATGTTGCACATTCACCTGTTTGAAGTTGCTCCAGACTTTATAGTCAGGGACACACCCATCACGCACTACTCTGATGTCAAAACCTGCACCCTGAACGAATTCAAGCAATTGTCATTAGACCAAAGTTACTGCACACAGGTCGCTCATATGATTTCCAAGAGAAAGGCATTGGGTGAATGAATAACTCAGACAAAAGCAAGAAAATGCAAAACCATTGTCATTGCTCCAAAGTGAGGAGCAGCAAGAATACTCCCCGTGTCAACAGAAGGGTCACAAACAAATTTCCCATGCGCAGTGTCATGAGTCAACCTTGTATAGGGTCATGACCGGATAGAGGTGCCAGGGGAGGGTAGATCTCTTGTGCTAGGAAAAGTGTCCACATTTCAAACATTGTAATGGTTAGTGGTAGCATAGCTCTAAAATCTCTTAGGCTCTTTAGGGGGTGAACGGGCAGCGTACTGTTGGGCTGTCTTACTAGTCGCGATACAGGCCTAGCCCATCAGCCAAGGGCTACCCCTGGCCCTGGCGATGGTGGGAAGTCCCAATGTACTATTCTTGATTATAATAAAATACACCTATGATTCGAATGTCCCGAATGTTGCCTTGATGTGTTTTTTTTTTCTCGATGTGAATGTACCTTTTTGTGTGTGGTTGAGATTGATTTCGATATGAATACGTCTTTTTGTGTACGCTTGGGACTAACTGTGGCTTATGGTTATTTGTTTAGATATCGAACTAGTGGTAACTGACTTGTGTGGGAGCGTCCATTCAAGTGCCACACGGTCTATTGCTTGTTGAGAGAAAGCCTAGTCCATGACATGTGGTATCAGAGCACGGTTGAGAAGTGCTAAAAAATTGATGAGATGGCCACAAGTGGTAGACCCAATTATCAACAGAGACTTGAGGAGCTTGAGGCCGCGGTGGCCGCATTGAAAGCTCACATGGTGACTAAGGATTGATTGAGGGAGATCGAGACAACCTAGCGAGAGTTGTCCGATACTCTACATAACGTGGGCGAGGAGGCTAAAGATGCTTTGAATGTTCTCCAAAAGGAATTTGAAAAGCTCAGAGCACAAGTGAGCATCATACAAATGGCTGTGGTCAGATTGAGTTCGAGCTCGACGGAAAGGGGAAAAAGGGCTAAGGTGCCGGAGCTTCGATGCTATAAGGGGGCAAGAGATGCCAATGAGCTTGAAAACTTCCTGTTTGACATGGAACAACACTTCTGAGCTATACACACGGATTCAGAGGAAGATACGGTAGCAATGGCGTTGATGTACCTCACAGGGGATGCCAAGCTATGGTGGCATTCCAAGTTTATCAATAACGAGTGCCCGATTAAGACTTGGATGGACCTAAAATAGGAATTGAAAAATCAGTTCTTCCCTAAGAATGTGGAATATATGGCTTGAAGGAAACTTCAAGAATTGGTGCAAACAGGAACAGTGCGAGAGTTTGTGAGGAATTTTTCTACCATAATATTGGATATTCGAGACATGTCCGAAAAGGACATGATGTTTTATTTCCTTGAGGGCCTCAAGCCTTAGGTTAGGATAGAACTATAAAGATAAAAAGTGCAAGACGTGGCTACAGCCATGGCTATAGCTAAACGTCTCCATAATTATAATGATGGCTCCTCAAAACGAAAAAAAATCCTCCATCAGTTGGCAGTAACTTTAACTTGGAAAGTGGGAGAAAGATGACTAGAATAGATCGACCCTTCAATGGGGGATCAGACATGAGGTCCTTTGGTCGAGATGGTACCCAACCTAAGGAAAACAATGTAGTGAATTTCAGGCTTAGGTAACCACTAGCTTTTTCCTATGTAAGGGGCCGTATCAGGTGGTCGAATGCCCACACAGAGAAGCCCTTAATGCTTTAAGAGCCTCGTCTTAAAAATTCACAAAAGCATCAAAGATCATTGAAGAAGTTGAAGAGGAGCCAGCCAGGATGGGTTCAATAAGGTTCTTCAATGCCCTCCACACCTAACTGAACACGATAAAGAAAGAGCAGGGTAGAAGCTTGATGTATGTGAACTTAATGATCAATGAGAAGGTCACCAGGGCCATGGTAGACACAGGTGCAATCGATACCTTCATCACACCAAAAGAAGCAAAAATGTGTGGTTTTTAGGTTAGCAAAGACTACGGGCGAATGAAGGCGATCAATTTGCCAGCCTTTGCAATCAGTGGAAGCTCCAAAAGTGTGATAACCAAGTTAGGGCCATGGGAAGGGAAGGTAGACTTTACAGTTTCCCCCATGGATGACTTTGATGTCGTCCTCGAATTGGACTTCATAATGTTGGCTAAAGTGATCCCTATCCTTGTCGCTAATTGCTTGTTATTTTTAAGGGAACACTCATGTGTGATGCCCGGCCACTATCTTGCCAAAGAATGAAAAGAAAATGATATCATCTTTACAGTTCAAGAAAGGGGTAAAGAGAGGGGAACCCTATTTTGTGGCCATATCGATTTACAAGGAAGGGTTAGAAGTGGAACTGATACCTGATGGCATGAAAAAAATGTTAGAAAAATTCAAAGAGGTGATGCCAAGGATGGTGCCTAAGGTTCTACCTCCTCAAAGAGCTGTGAACCATGAAATTGAGCTCTTTCCAAGAGTCAAACCCCCTGCTAGAGCCCTTTATCGCATGACCCTGTCAGAGTTGACTAAACTAAGGAAACAGTTAGATGAGCTTCTACAGGTCGGATTCATTAGACCATCAAAGGCTCTTTTTGGAGCGCCAATGCTATTTCAGAAGAAGCATGATGAAAGTTTGTGATTATATGTTGACTATAAGGCCCTAAACAAAGTCACCATGAGAAACAAATATCTTATCCCTCTTATAACAGATTTGTTTGATCAACTAAGCCAGGCCAAGTACTTTTTTAAATTGGACATGAGATTTGGCTACCATCAGGTCAGAATCACTGAGAGAGATGAGCCAAAGACCACTTGTATAATGCGGTATGGCGCATTTGAATTTCTTGTTATGTCCTTTGGATTAACCAATCAAATGTTCCATGACTATCTAGACAAATTTGTAGTAATCTATTTAGATGACATAATGGTATATAGTTCTACTCTGGAAGAACATCAAGAACACTTACGTCGGATGTTTCAAAGATTACAAGACCACTAGTTGTATGTGAAAAATGAGAAATGTACCTTTGCTCATACCCAAATCCACTTTTTAGGTCACATTGTCAAATGTGGCCACATTCGAATGGATATGAAAAAGGTTAGGGCTATCAAAGAGTGGATAACACCGAAGAATGTTAGTGAACTTCACTCATTTTTGGGATTAACCAACTACTATAGAAGATTTATAGAATGGTACTCTCGCAAGACCACGGCCCTCACATAGCTATTGAAAAAGGACCATAAATGGTGTTGGACAAATGAGTGCCAAGAGGCCTTTGAGAGATTGAATGATGCTATTATGAATGATCCTATCTTAGCTCTTCCTGACATTGAAAAGCCTTTCGAAGTTAGACGAATGCATCTGATTTCGCTATTGGGAGCGTGCTTTTACAATAATGTCACAAAATAGCATTTGAAAGTAAAAAGTTAAGTGAAGCTGAGAGTAAATATACGGCCTAAGAAAAAGAGCTCTTGACGGTAGTGTACTGCCTAAAGGTTTGGCGACATTATTTGTTGGGTTCACACTTTGTCGTAAAGACAGACAATGCGACCGTTAGCCATTTTCTCACCCAACCAAGGCTTACAACAAAACA